TTTCAGAAAAGTTTGAAATCCGCAGTTACAGAAAGTCTTTATTTTTTAGTATGAAGATTTCACTTTCTTTCCCTTTTCGTTGATATTGATTTCCAATGTTACTTCAGTGGACCTGTTGACTCGTGTGTGTGTCGCCGCGTGTGCGTGTGTTTGTATGTTTCTTTGTGTGTGTGTGTGTGTGTGTGTGTGTGTGTGTGTGTGTGTGTGTGTGTGTGTGTGTGTGTGTGTGTGTGTGTACGCGTCTGTGCGCGTGTGTTTGTGTCTGTGAAATAAGATAGACTAATGTTTGCCAATCCCCTCCAAAAAAAGTGATTTTGTATGTCGACGAATAAAACTTATTCTCCCATAAAAAAGAAACACACTTAGATGAATCAAAACCTCCTCCCTCTCGAGCCCTTGAATAAAATCAAGAGAAAGAGGAAGTGAAAGAGAGAATAAGAAAAATAAAGAAAGCCGTCATTTTTTTCTTCCTGGCTTTAAAGGAAGGGAGGAAGGAAGGAAGGAAGCGGGGAGGGGGAGGGGGAGGGGGGGCGAGATCGGCCAGGAGAGGGAAAAATCCATTTGCACTCCAATTTCACACCACCCAAATCTCCGGCCGTCCACCTCTCCATCGCGACCGGAGGACACTCGGACTAAGGGGAAGGACGGAGGCGCGGATTTATAGATAACAAAGCAACAAAACAAAAAAACAAAAAAAAAATTCTAAAGCGAGGGGATTCACGGGGAGGTCGCCTGGGTAGAAGAAGAAGGTCGAGGGGAAGGCAAGGGAGAGGAAGATTTTTTTTTTTTTTTTTGCGTGCAAGTTAGCTCAGGTAGAAGGAAGTTCGAGGAAAGGAAAGTGAACGGAAGATTTGGGTTTTACTGTAGGTCACTTAGAAGAAATTTGAAGAAAATGAAAAAAAATGAGCAGAGAAGGCTTACGCGTAGGCCTCGTGGGTAGAAGAAGATAGAAGAAAAGGGAAGAAAACAGAAAATAGAGTCTTGTTGAAAGCGAATGAAGAGAGAAAAAGAAAAATAAGGAAGGGGGGAGGGGGGATTTCCCCACTGTGCTCTGTTTTGACGTTGCAGCTTTCTTAAAAATCCCAGAAGCAGAAGTTTTTTATTGTGTGCAAACTTCGTAACCCTCTCTGCCTCGGAAGGAAAGTCAAACGCACATTTATTTGTTTCGGGATTAAGGATTTATTTGCCCTTGCTTTTCCTCCAACTTCCGTTTCGTTTCTGTTTATTTCTTGTTCATATTGTTATGTCTCTCTTTTCTTTGTTTGTTTATTCTTCTAATCCTCTTTTTTCCCTGTTACTTTCTTTAAAGTATTATTTAAAGTCTATCAATCAGAAGACTAAATTGATCTTCCTGTTTTGGTAAAAAATTCAAAGGGCTTGACACCTGCCTCTTTCCCTTCTTTTTCTTGCCTTTTTCTCTTTTTATGATAGGGGGGGAGGGGGATCTTGCTGGGTTCCTCCCTCATGATCGCCTGACCTTGACCGTGACCTTCGGAAGCGAGCACTGTTTACACCTCTTGATCTCCATTCCGCTAGTAACTAAGTTCAATTCCCTCAACGCCATTTCTCATTATTGTTGTTTTGTTTTTTTTTACCCTAAAGCCTATTTCTTGTTTATCCACTCGTTGCAGTGCTTCGTCAGTTCTTTCATTTTTTACTTATTCTCTTTTACTGGGATTTGCTTTTCTGTTCTGCTCTCATCCTGTGGATTATCTTTTTCTCGTTTTCTGTCTTGTTTTTTTTATACTTGCTGTTTTTATTGTTTTAAGCTGACTATCGTCTCTCCCTCTCTCTCTCTCTTTCTGTCTCTCTCTCACTGTTTATCTATCTATATCTCTCTTCATCTCTCTCTTCATTTTCATTCGCATAGGTCATTATTTTTACTCCGTTGATTCCCTTCCCCATGACTTCCCAGCCTCATGTTTCTTCTCACTATTTTCCTCCCCCCTCCCCCCACCACCACCTATCTTTCCCTCCTTACTTTCCTCCCTCTTCCATCTCTCCTTCTTTCTCCTCCTTCGTCCGCATTTTCCCTCCCCCCCTCCTTCGTCGACGTCTCTGAAAGCCATTCTCTACCTCTCGTCCGTCGTAGTTCTCCTTCGTAACCGAGACGCGGCATCGACGTGCGGGCGGGCAGGCGGGCGGACGCGACCAAGGACCCCGCCCGCAAGATCGGTAGATTAAGGAGGCCTCGTCTTTCTTCTCTGCGCCCTTGTCGTCTTATCCTGCTCCTCTTTTCTGCCTTTCTTTCCTCAATTATTATTATCCCTCCTTTTCCTCTTTCGCCATTACCGAATTACTCAATCTTTCTCTTTCATTTTCCCCTTCTTACTTTTCTCTCGTATCACTCAGTTCTTCTTTTCCCTCTCTTTATCTAGTTCCCTTTTATCCCGCTCCTCCCTGCTTTTCTTTGTCCATTGCTTTTATTGCACTCTATCTTCTTCTCCCTCTTTCTTTATTGGTACCTTATCCTACTCCACCCCTTTTTCTTTTGCCTCTTCCTCCATTGTCCTTTTTACAACCGCACTCCTCCCCCTTTCGCCTCTCTCTCCATTCCCCTCTTATCCCGCTCCTCCTCTTCCCACTTCGCCCTTTTCCCCTTTGTCTCGACTTCTTGTAATTTCCTCGCTCTCCCTCTCATATTTCCGAGCTTATTTTCCCCTCTTTTCTCCTCCTTTTTTTTATCAGGAGTCTTAATATCCCATCCTTCCCCTCTCCGTCCATTGGGTCATTATAAGTCTTTTTCTCCCTCTCTTGACCTTTTGCTTATTAATTCTTTCCATTTCCTCCGCTCGTCCTCAGGAGATCAAAAGGAAACCCGAAAAGAAAGCCAAGATCGACACAGCAAGTGGCGATGCTAATGCGAATAGTGATGGTAATGAGAGGGAGGGTGATGTTTATGAGGATGATGGTGAAGATGCTCATGACGGGGATGATAATGGATGATGATGATGATGATGATGATGATAGGAATGATAATGATAAAAGTAATGATGATAATGATAAAAGTAATGATGATAATGATAAAAGTAATGATGATAATGATAAAAGTAATAATGATAATGATAAAAGTAATGATAATGATAATTATTATTATTATTATGATGACAAGGATAATAATGATAGGGATAAATCAGATAGAGCAAAAATAGATTACTGCACAAAAGGGTTCATGGCAGAAGGGCGAGGTGACGTCACGAGGTCATGAGTTGCCGTGAAGGAATTAAGAGACCTTTTTTTAGAGCGTTTAAGAAGACCAATTGGCAAAGTTTCTTGATAATGCCATCTGACAAAAAAGTGAATTAGAAGTGTGGGAATAGTAGGAAAATGAGAGCGCGAATCTGATAAATGTTGATTGGCAAGGGCGGGGAAGGAAATGGAAATGAAAAACCGAAGAGGAACAAGAAGAGTGAAGAAAGAGGAGGAGACAAGAGGCCAGGGGATGGAGGGTGTCTACAGCGATTGCTATCATCGGAACCCTCAACTTCCTATGGAGTTGAATTCGATTACATCACCTTCCCTCCCCTCTTCTCCCCTCTCACCTATCCTACGCCGCTGCTCGCTAGTTAATCTCATTACCAAAACAATTATATGAGATCCAGGTCGTAGCCTCTTCTGGGCTCTTCTGCTGCCTCTTAGACTTAGACTCCGCCTTCCTCCGCCTTCCTCCGCCAGTCAATACGCAAGCGGGTGATGACTGTGATCACTCAAGGGGCGCCCTGCTGGAGTGACGAAGGGTGACGCTGCTGCCCTCCCTGCCGGGCTCGACAGGGAGGGCAACAGCCTTCCCCTTGCCGGCAGAAAGGCGGAACTAACTCACTTTTAGCTCGTTTCGTCAGTTCTTCTCTGTTTTTCTTTGTTATTTAGTCCTTCCCTCCTTCACTCGTTGCTCAGCCTCTCCCTTCCCTCCTTGGTTCTTCCTCTTTCCTTCCCTCCCCCCCACCCTTCCCTTCTATCCTCCCCTTACCTCCCTCCCTCCTTCCCTCTCTCCTCCCTCCCTCCCTCCCTCCCTCCCTCCCTCCCTCCCTCCCTCCCTCCCTCTTCCCTCCCTCTCTCTCTCCTTCCCTCCCACCCCGCCCCTCCCTCTTTCACCCCCTCCCTCTCCCTAATACACACGGATGGATATAAACACATACACCCACGTGTTATCAACACCCTGATGCACGCTCAGCACAACTTTCATCCCAGCACAGAAGCATTTTCTCCGGCCTCACATAATGCTTACGGGCCGCTAATTAGAGAACTTTTGTCTTATTTCTCTCTCCATGGTAATTATTGTTCGTTCTGAGTTTTACTAGATTTTTAAAAGACTGATATCTTTGTCCGACATTCTTCCTTGTCGTTCGTTTAAAGAAAACACACTATATCGATACTGAACTCTATCATACATGTGATTGGCTTTTACGAAAACCGTTCCTTCTGTCTGACTGTTACAATACAATATTGTAGAGTATTTATCCCACTTTTTGCCCCGGCCTTTCATCTTTTCTCCCTCGCGATTTCCTTTTCCATTCCCGGCGGGATGGAAAACCCGGCCTGGAACGCTGGCCATCACTCTCCGCTCTACCGAACTCGGCAATCTCCTCCCTCTCTGTATCCTACGTCTGTGTCTCCTCTTCTCGCGCCCCCATCCTTCCGTGACTCGCCGATCGATCCGGGCTTCTCATACCTCCTCTCTCTCGTAATCAAGAATATTTATGCCTTCTTTTCAGGTGTGTTT